CTCTAATATTCTACGTGAATGTTGTGGTGTGTGGGAACCTCAGAAGCCACTTATGGCTCTCACAACTATGAGGACGTTCTACGCGCCGTTCCTCTAATATTCTACGTGAATGTTGTGGTCTGAACTAAATATTCTTTCATTAGTACCATACAGCATCTTAGGCATTACAAATTTTTATATTAATGTATTTCGTCTCTTTTTGGTTAGAATCATCGACAGCATAATGAGGAAGTCAACATTTTCTGGAACGAAATCGAACATACGTGTCTAGAGCAGGAAGGAACTTTGCGAACAGTAAATATACTTTTCGTTGAATAACTCCCTAGCTTTTTCTAACTGATATACATATAGCTACGATGTCATGTCAATATAAGAAGTAAGACACAAGATATGATGGAGAACATGGCCGAGGAGACAGTAGAAGAAGCCGAGGTTTGCTGATGTCATGATGTTAACATAAATTACACATTGTATTTTGTTTTACTTACATATCTATATCTCTTTTCCTCGTAGCTCAAGAATGCAAGCAAGCGATTACATTCCGAGTTCTCGAGATGTGAACAAAATGAGGAAGGATTCTCAACCTCACCAAATGAGGTCAGTATATAACTTAAAATTTAATTAGCAAAAACATCTGCTGACTCTTTGAATGCATAGATCAGAACCTCCAATAGAATGTCCCCGAATGAGAGCCGATCCACAATAAGAGATTCAAAGATAATGTTGGAAGCTTTTGATGAAAATGTTGCGTCGGATCTGAAAGAGAAAGCTCAACGATCTACCACACCTTTTCTGCCGAAAAAACGTGCGCGCAACACACAGCAAGAGGCTGAAAAAGATGTTACAGATGAAGATTTAGCGAATTCAGTGATTGATACCTCCAACACTTTCGGCAAAGTTGAATTTCCGTCATATTATAGTAAACTTAAATCTATCTGGAACAATCAAGATGCTACGAACTATCATGTTATCGATTTAGGGGATAAAGATACATTATATCAGGTTCATGACCTTTTAGATGAGGATGAGTTGAAAGCGTTGTTTAAAAGGTTAATGTTGGATGATGAAGATATGCACATAAATGAAAAGGCACGTAAATATATAGAGCTGTTTGATCAGATTATGGAGGAAGAGAATTTGGAAGATATTTGTGATGACGAAGTTGTGGACGAAGTAGCTGGCAGTGATCTTGTAGATGAAAATAATGAAGAGACAAAAAATATGGAAGGAGATAACGAAAAGTTTAACAAATCAATTGCTAAAATGAAGGAAATCGTGCACCAATTAGATGGCTTACCCGAAAAATATCACTACCTAT